AACAACAACAACAGCAAGAACAACGATGACAGCAGCATGAACAACGACGACAACACAAATAACAACAATAACACTAATAGCAATAAAAAATAACAGCAATAATAACAATAACAAGAGCAATATCAACAACAATAACAATAGCTATAACAACAGCAGCAACACCAAAAGCAACAGCAGCAACTGCCACAACTGCGACAACTGAAACAATGCAACAGTATTATCGCCGCCTTTTAAAACTATTTTGATCTGGTGGGGTGCAGGAGCAAAAGCAAGAGCTGGAGCGAGAGCTGGAGCAAGGATCAAGAGCAGGAGCAGGAGCAGNNGCAAGAGCAGGAGCAAGTGCAAGAGCCACGGCAGGCAGGAGTTGGAGAAGAAGCAAGATCCTGCCAATGTGACCGTGTTGATCAAAAGCTCCGTAACAATAAACAGAATTTTCGAGCTTCTATTGGTGGGGGGGGGGGGGGGGGGGGCGCCCGTTTGATATTGGAGGGAAAAGGATAATAACGCCCAGTAGGACCTGACGGCTTAGCCAGAGTATCAGCGGCGAAACTGGGGTCGCCCATCATTGGCTCGCATCAGCCTCCTCAGCAGCCGCAACGCCGTGCTCATAATTCTGCTTTTGTCTCTTAATGTAACCTCCATACTCTGTTCACCGTGTTCATCACAATCAGTTTCTTTGGCTTTACAGCCACAAGTGCATTCGTTGCCTTTTCCAAGATCACCATCAGCACATCAACGTCACTGTCACCACGGCCTATACCATCGCCATCATCCTTTACAACAGTCACCGCCATCATGACCGTAACCGTCAGCACAATCCTTTGTATTCGCCGTGAGCGTAGGTAGTGTTATCCTGTACAAAGCTGCAGAGCTCGTAAGCATGACAAACCAGACGAACTGTCGAAGTTATGCGAAGCCCAGAGAGCCCAATACGCCTTAAAGAAGGAATATACCTTAAACTATAGGGGCCGTAATATTATGATTTGAGGTATATATTCCTTAATTAAGGGGTATTGGGCTCTCTGGGCACTGGCCGAAGGACGTGCGCTACTGGGCCGCCTCCGCTCTCAGTGGCATGGGTGCTGCAGCTGCCGAATTCGCCTCTGAGGTACTTTGACTGCTCTGAGGGGCTTCCCAGAGAGCCCAATACCCCTTAATTAAGGAATAGACCTTAAATCATAATATAAAGGCCCCTGTAATTTAAGGTCTATTCCTTATTTAAGGGGTATTGGGTTTAGGGTTTAGGACCCTAAACCCTAAACCCTAAACCCTAAACCTAACTTTCTGGGGACTGGCCAATGTCAGCACTTGGAGGGGGCTTGCAGTTGGAGCAGTGGAGGATGCAAGGAACCTTGAAAGCCAAATCTAGAGTTTGGGGGGTTTAGGGTTTAGGGTTTAGGGTTTAGTAAGGGATTCCCATTCCCATAAATCTAAGGGTTTCCCATAAATGGTTCAGGGTTGGGGTTTAGGGTCTAGGGTTTAGGGTTTAGCGTATAATAAGTACATAGTATAATATACCCCAAGACCCTATTCAAACTAGTAAGGCCTCGGAAACCAAATTGTGACCTGCAAGCTCTGAACGGATCAGCCGAAGTCCCAAGCTCACCATATGGCTAGTTTTCTAAATCAGGGTCTGTTTTGGTGGTCCTTTTTATAATAGGGTGCCGTAGTATATTGGGGACCGGGAAACGGACCCCAATCTAAGAGAACTACCCATATCCCATGAACCAACCAGCTTCCCTTAGCAAGTCCACTGTCAGTTCAACCCTATAAATCCTAAACCCTATAAACCCTAAACCCTAAACCCCTGAACCCCTAAACCCTAAACCGTCCGTTCCAGGTGGAGAAAGCTGTCAAGGCCGCTCACGTCGATGAGAGCTTCATGGCTTCCAGGGTTCGGGCGTCTGCTCTGACGTCTTTACATACCATAGGGTTTAGGGTTTAGGGTTCTTTAATAATTGCCTATAACATTTTGGGGGTTCCTTGTTATAACTGTCGTATAATATACCCCCCAAAACCCAATTCTGATTATTAAGGCCCCTATATCATTGTGGGGCCGTACAAGTATCACCACTTTCGCTGCGAGCAGCACTTAGTCGGAAGCACAGCTCGCAACTGGATGTACCCACGGGGCACAGGGGCTGAGTGCAAGATCTGTGGGAGGTGTTTGGAGGCTTCAGAAATATGATGTGTATGTGTTTCGTTTCATCTGCTTGGTGTTTCATAAGCAGGTCAGGCGTGTGCTTCTGGGCTTTAGAGTCTGAAGCCCCGAGCACCGCTTTCATTGGAAATTCGACTGCCGTATTCGCCAAACCATTGGCAGTATTTAGCTGTCAGCTTCTCAAGCTGCCAATGTGGGCATGCACACAGGTTCACCAGCCAGGCCCCAAACCACATAATCTTGAGGCGGATGTGCTCATGCTAACTTACAGGCAGCCGTCACACAAGCATGTGGGAGCAAGCACACAATCACAAAATTAAGTGTGCCTAAATGATTGCCTATACTATTTGGGGGGTTCCTTATTGGAATTCTAGCATAATGTACGCCAAAACCCTATTCTAAATGATTAAGGCCCCTATCTTAGGGCCATAGCGGGTCTATCTGAAAGCAGGGGGTCTCTGGGAGGACCCGAATCCGGCTATACAAGGGTTATATAAGGACTATACAATGGTTCTTTAAGGTAATGGGACTAAGGGTCCATAATAGGGGTCCCTCCTAAAGTCCTTAGAGGTCTATCTGAACCTAGACCCTCCATCTACCCTTTATTATACCTTAAATACCCTCAATTTGGGACCATATACCCCTGGTCGAGGGTACTTGGAGGGTCCTGGAAAGCAGGGGGCCCCTATAATTTAAGGTATACTCCATATCTAAGCCCTAAACCCTAAACCCCTAAACCCTAAACCCTGTTCCCTATTCAAAGGGTCTTGAATTCTCTGGGAGGACCCGAATCCAGACGTTTGGCCACACATCCTTCGCATCATCAGCCTGCACGTGACCCAGGCGGTCTTCCCAGAGAGTTCAAGACCCTTTAAAATAGGGTTTAGGGTTTAGGGTTTAGGGGTTTTGGGGTTTAGGGGTTTAGGGTTTAGGGGTTTAGGGGTTTAGGGTTTAGGGTTTAAGGTTTAGGTATGGAGTAGACCTTAAATTATGGGATCTATAGGGGTTTAGGGCTTAGGAATGGACCTTGAATTATAGGGGGCCTTTAAGGGATCCATAAGGGTTTATAGGGTTTAGGAATAGACCTTAAATTATCGGTGCCCTTTAAGGGATCTATAGAGGTTTAGGGTTTGGAATAGACCTTAAATTATAGGAGGCCCTTAAAGGGATCTATAAGGGTTTATAGGGTTTAGGGTTTAGGAGTAGATCTTAAATTCAGGGGCCCTTATCTGTTGATTTATAAGGTCTATTCCTTAATTAAGGGGTATTGGGCTCTCTGGGTTCAGGAGCGTACAGTTGTTTTGGCCCCAACAGACACCCTAAACCCTGAACCCTAAACCCTTGCAGATCTGCGAATGTACAGCAGTGGGTCTTATTGCGACAGGTGGCTAGAGGCTTGATTTAGGGTTTAGGGTTTAGGATTCCCGTCATCCTTTCCAGAGAGTGGACAACTTGAGCTGCACGTAGCTCCACCATTCGAAGGTCGCTGTCCCACTTTGGGGCTTCAGGTTTAACCCTGCTGTGGGCTAAGGAACCCTAATCCCTAAACCCTAAACCCTAAAACCTAAACCCTAAAACCTAACACCTAAACCCTAAAACCTGAACCCTAAACCCTAAAACCGAAACCCTAAAACCTTAAAAGCTAAACCCTAAACCCGACGGGTGCAGAAACCTGAGTTCTGAGCTCCGCAGGGGGTGCCTTCAAGTTAGGACAGGGGCCTCGCGACTTCGAGACTTTGTGGTTACTATACCGGCCTCAATATAACTTCCTACACTATTTTTTTTGGGGGTTCCTTATAATAAGTATATAGTCTAATATACCCCAAAACCCTATTCTAACTAGTAAGGCCCCTTATTGTCTTCGTTCAGCGAGGAGGAATTTCGGGTTATCAAA